CTCTCTCTCTTTGACAAATAAATAAATAAAATCTTAAAAAAAAAAAAAAAGAAAGGTAGGAATGAAGAAGGTATGGGGGTTTAGAAAAGATCATCCTTAAAGCCTGGTGATGGGTACATCAGGTCCCTTATAAATACTCAATTTCTGCATATGTTCGAAAACATCCTTAATAAATTTTTTTCACTGATACATTTTACTCCCAGAAAATTTTCAACCAGGGGTGCCTGAGTGGCTCAGTCGGTTGGGCGTCTGCCTTCAGCTCAGGTCTCTGCTCTGTGGAGAGCCTGCTTCTCCCCTCTGCCTGCTACTCTGCCTATCTGTGCTCTCTCTCTGTCAAATAAATAAATAAAATCTTTAAAAAAAAAAGAAAGAAAATTTTCAGCCATTACAAAATACAAAAGCTAGCTTCCTTTCACTATTCTGTACTATAAGTTCTCTTTTCCAGAAGTGATTATTACCAGTAATTTGATATTTCTCTTTCCAACCTATCTCTATACATTTACATAAATATCTAAAGAATCCATTTAGCATTATTTGTCTATTTTTTGGAAAATATAGTATAACTCTAGGGGCGCCCGGGTGGCTTAGGCAGTTAAGTGTCTGTCCTTCGGCTCAGGTCATGATCTCTAGATATATATATATACAGTATAATTCTATATGTATCATTTTGTAATTTAGTTTTTGCCACTCAAATTCATTCTCTCTCTCTTTTTTAAAGATTTTATTTATTTATTTGACAGAGAGAGAGAGCACAAGCAGGGGGAGCAGCAGAGGGAGAGGGAGAAGTAGTCTCCCCACTGAACAGGGAGCCTGATGCGGGGCTTGATCCCAGGATCCTGGGATCATGACCTGAGCTGACGGCAGACGCTTAACTGAGCCACCCAAGCGCCCCCAAATTCATTCTTTTTAACCATTCCACTGTACTTATACATTATACTATTGCTTATTTAGACTATTTTTATTTATGTACACATACACATATACATACATCTATTAAATGGAAAGTGACGTATACGGTACCTTTCATAAATGCAAATATTACCTTAATTCGTTTCCAATCTCTTTTCTGTTTTCTTTCCTTTCCTTTTTTTTTTAAAGATTTTATTTATTTATTTGAGACAGAGAGAATGAGATACAGAGAGCATGAGAGGGAGGAGGGTCAGAGGGAGAAGCAGACTCCCTGCCGAGCAGGGAGCCCGATGCGGGACTCGATCCTGGGACTCCAGGATCATGACCTGAGCCGAAGGCAGTCACTTAACCAAGTGAGCCACCCAGGCGCCCTCTTTCCTTTCCTTTTAAGTAAGTTCTACATCCAACATGGGACTCAAACTCATGACCCTGAGATCAAGTCACACTTTCTGACTGAGCCAGCCAGGCACCACCCCCCCTTAATTTTTTTTTTAAATATACTATTAGTTTGAATTTTTATGGAGTGAAAATTATCCTTTTCCTTTATGGTATCTTCTTCTGACTTTATGTTTAGAAAAGCTTTCCCTTTCCTGAAATCAACTGTTCATCTACACTGCTTTAAATGATTTTATGGCTCACTTTTTAAAATTCTTTTGAGGGGGCACCTGGGTGGCGCAGTCAAGTGTCTGACTCTTGGTTTTGGCTCAGGTCATGATCTTGGGAGTCATGGGATCGAGCCCCACTTTGGGCTCGGCGCTCAGCACAGTCTACTTGTGACTCTCTCTCCCTCAGCCCCTCCTCCCACCCCATGCACATGCGCTCTCTCTCTTAAATAAATCTTTAAAAAAATAAATTCTTTTGAGAATTTTTTTGGTATACGGTATGAGATGGAGATCTAACTTTTTCACCTAAGCTTTTAACACATTATCCCAGTGCTATTCTCTTCAAATTGATATAAACTGCCCCCTTTGTCCTTTTCTACATACTTTAAGTCTCTCTCTACAGCTGCCTGTATATCACTTGTTAGGACTTGTCTGTTAACATACTTTTCTTCTCGGATTTATTCTATTCTACTCCTCTGTCTCAGACCATAGAAATACACAGGTATCTTACTGACTAAAGGCAAAAAGAAAGATTTGGGGATGCCTGGGTGGCTCAGTCAGTTAAGCATCTGCCTTCAGCTCAGGTCATGATCCCAAGAGTCCTAGGATGTGTCCCACATCAGGCTTCTTGCTCAGCAGTGGGCCTGCTTCTCCCTCTGCCTGCCACTCCCCCTGCTTGTGCGTGTGTGCTCTCTCTCTCTCTGACAAATAAATGAATAATCTTAGAAAGAAAGGGAAAGGGAAGGGATGGGATTTGGCCTGAACTAGTACCCAAAACTTAAGTTTAGCTTCAACAAATTTCAAATACCAACTAAAAGCTACAATCTATCATGCCAGAAAGCTACTTACTTCCACAGTAGTTGCAGCCTTTTGAGTCATTTTTCCGACAAGGTCAACCTGTTCGTATCTGGATTTCATGTATTTTTTTGCAACTTTGTATACCCACTGTGGGCAAGTTGCAGAAAAAAGTAAAGTCTGAGGATTGTCTTCAGAATCTTAAATAAACAACAAAAAAAATCAAATGCTTTCTTAACATCCATGATGTAGTCAGCTCCTGAAAATCCCCCCCAAACTTCAAAGAAATCATAAAAAATTAAAAATTTGGGGTCCATTTTGAACATACAAACTTCATTACAATTATTAAAACTTTCAACTTTCAAAACTGCAGGAAAATATGAAGAAAACTGACCCCAGAAAGAAGGTGAGAATTTAAAAAGGGACAATGAGCAAAGAAATCAGTAAAATGAGTTAGTAATAAATCTACTGACTATAAAAAATAATACATGGGGGGGTGGGAGGATGGGTTGGCCTGGTGGTGGGTATTGAGGAGGGCACGTTCTGCATGGAGCACTGGGTGTTGTGCATGAACAATGAATCATGGAAC